AAATATTTGTATCTACTGCTAAAGAATCGCTTGCATAGCAGTTTATTAAGTGATAGTATGGCCTGGACCATGTAGGGTGTTACATCATGTGTTTAAGGTAGGCCATTTAAGCTGAATTGTTGAAGGAACTGAAGAGATTTTATAGATTTGCTTACCAGAATTAGAGCATTTAATTTTATCAGTATCATCTGAGTCCCAGACTAAGTCTCATTCCTGTCAGCTGTGAAACTCGGATAGCTAGCTGAAGTTAAGTGAAGTCTTATTTTTGCCAGACCAAGGCCCTCTTCACCACTATGTATCTCAAAAGCATCCAGCTAGGCTTTTTTATACCTGAAGAGACTACAGGTGTCAGGAACAATTTGGGCAGGTTTTAAAATAAACTTGACTTCACAGGTTGAGCATCTTTTCTTAATGACAGACTAATGATTATTCCAAAGTCATTTATCTGTTAGCTGTTTTTCTGCCTTGCTGCTGTGTTGAACAAGTCTTTATTTTGACCTGAACACTGAAAAGATGATGTATTCCTTCAGACACAGGCCTTGCGAATTCATGAATTCATAAAAGGTAAGTAAAAATCAGTGCTTTTGTGATTGTGTTAACGGAGAGAGACTAAATGAGAGTTAACTGAATACCCTATAGGGTGCTAGGTGGAGGAAGAATAGTGTTATGCTGGTTAAAATATGCTAACATTTCAAAATACGCTAACCTCCTATAGGGTGCTAGGTGGAGGAAGAATAGCGTTATGCTGGTTAAAATATGCTAACCATTCAAAATACTCTTGTAGAATTATAAATACTTTATAATGGATACAGATGCTTCAGTAATTAGTTACTGTTGTGCTGCTGAGTGTCACTAATACATGATACATGACAAAACCCAAGATGATTCACTCAAGACTAAAAATTCAGAAACATTTCACCCCACTTCCAGCTAATGTCTCTCCAGTCAATTACACTTTCTCCCCCCCCAGTGTTGTAACACTAGGTTGTTTTTTTTTTCTTCTCGTTTTGTTCTCTGACCAAGCAGTTACACAAAAAATGAATGAGAAGATTAGCAGCCAGGAGATGAAGCTGACTTTTCTACAGAAGAAGGTTGACGGCATTGCTGCTGCAATGAATGATGTGAGCAAGACGCTTTCTTCTCTGGAAGGCAAAATCAATGAAGATAAGGGCAGAGACTTCCAATCTTTTCTAAAAGGTAAGAAAGAATAAATTAATGTAATCACTCACCCAGTTAAAGGTGCCAGGAAAAAAAAAATGCTAAAAACATTCATGGACTGTCCTATTCTGTTGCTCAACATTGATAGGGAGAACTCTTTTAGTTTCATTTCACAATAGAGGGATTTGTTTATTTTGACATTTGTTATGGTGTCTTTTATAGTGACAAAAAACTTACGTTCTTGGGTACTATATTGTCTACATCGTAACTTAAGCCACTGTCAAGGTGTTGTCATTTACTTAGAGCTTCTGCAAATATTCTTATCTCTGTTTTTTTGTTTATCTGACAGCTGCTAAAGGATGTAGTATTTACTTTGCTACTAAGTCTAAGTAATATTCTTTAATACATAATTCACATATGCAGGGGAAACATGTAAAGAATTCTGTGGCTGTTGTATTTATAACATGGCAAACTTTTTTATTTGCCTCTGATCATATTAGGCTACATTTGATGAACATTTATACTCTTATTCGGTACGCAAGAAAGACACGGCCAGGGATCAGGAGGTTGGGCAGACCCTCGCCAGCAGAATTATGCATCCGTTCCTTGTGCATCCTGCAGGAATGGTGTTTAACAAACAGATTGGGACTGAATCTTTCATTTCCTTGATGTGCAATGGAGCTCCTTACACTGAGATAAAACTTAATGAAAAAATAAGTGCTTTTGTATCTCCCTTGAATTTACCAAGTATGATCCAATTTCTTGTATTTTCTGTCTCCTGAGTTGCCCATGCCACGTGCTAGATGGCTCTCTTGTACCCTGGATCAAGTTTATCCTGTCTCTCGCTCAGTGACCTGCTTTCACCTCTCCACATATTGCTAGATGGTGTTCTTGACCCTTGGGCATACATTTCATTTGTCTTTGAATATTTCAGATTTCCCTTCTGCTTTCTCTTCATTCTTTTTTATATTCCACTCCTTCTAGCTGTTATTTTCATGCTATTCCAAGAGGTCTTTTGCTGCATCCTGTGCTCCTGCTTCTCCATTCCCTATCTATATTTAAGAGTCCAAGTCCTAATTAAAATGTGCAGTACAAAAACCCCCATTATTTCACACTTCTCTGCAAATGTGTTTCAAGCCTCTCTTGTTTTTATCTTCAATGCTCTATGTTATACCTGCCTAGATGAAATCTCCAGTTGCTGGCCCTTTTTTGATTTATGTTCTCAATCTATCTCCTAATCAAGTAGCTCTAATGAAAATGCTGCTATCACCTACTTTCCCCAACTCTAATTATGGGCACTGTAATACAGATTATTTTTGACTCATACATAGGTATGGGAAGGAGAGGAAAGAGAACAGGGTTAGTGTTTCTGTTGGCTTGTGTATGTAATGTCAAAGGGCAACTGCTGTTTCTGTCCAGGGAATATCATACTTTGTCATACTGTCCAGGGAATATCAGTCATACTGGAAGTGGGCAAAGAGCATCCTAAAGTAGAAGGAGCTGGAAGGAGTTTCCATGCTGTCCTCTCACTTGGTACAGATGTGCGGTATAGGCACATCAGACTTGCTAAAAATTACGCTTAGAAGCTCACCTGAATCAAAGCACAACTTTCCCCGCTACCACTGCCATCCTGAAGCAACGTGCTTTTGAAGCACAGTAAATCTGTAGTTGCTTCATGCTATTCAGACTTCTTCCTTCTTCCCCTAGTTTTCCATTTTCTTCCCATAGTGCCCAGGTCCATTGCTCATATCCATTAATCACCTTTTTTCTTATCACAGAAATTCTTAATAGCTACCCAGCTTTGTGTCGGAGTTGATTAGGAGTGAGGTCTGTTTCTGTGAGCAAGCAATTCAATACAGTTTACAAAGTCTTTATTTCTTGGTTTCATCTGTGAATAGACTTCTCCCACAAACCCATCATCTATTGATACAGGGCAACACTCACTGGAGTAACGGATATTCTCCTCTAATTTAAATAGTGAAACCTGTTGTGCATTTTAAAAATAGTTTTCAGTACTCAGGAGACTGTTTCTACTTTTTACTTAGAGAAAACAGTTTGCTGTTTTCCCTTTAATTTAATAAACTCTGCTTGCTTCTTACTATTCTTTTGTCCTCCTTTCACTCCACATCAAGCCTTTTTACAGACTTCTTTCCTCTTAATTATTAAAATGTACACTCCTTTAAAAATGAACTCAGCAATGGAGTGTTAATCACTTCCAAGTCAGAAATGTCATTTACAGCTGGATATATAAACTTAACTCAGTCTTTTGTGTACATACATTCCTTTTGCACATTATTCTTCAAATAATTGAAACTGCAAAGGGAATATATGTTGACATAAAGTAATTACACACTTTGGATTTCAGCCAGGGAGTTAAAATTAAAATTTATAATCTCATAAAAATTGCAAGAGATCTTTAATGTTCACAGGTAGTTAGGACCTTTCTATTTCAAAATGAGCAACAGAGAAATTGAGTTACATCCATGAATGTACTCATGTGTATTCTCAGCTCAAGCTTAAGAATATACCCAGTTGTCACCTACAGTGCATTTTGGGGTCTGGTCTTTCTGTGGAGAAACGTGGTCCCACAGCCCCTGGTGAACTTTGGAACAGCACTTGCTTACCAGGTGCCTAGTTGTCCTAGCCAGCAAGTAAGGGAGAGAAACTCAAAGCTGTCTGTTTTGTCAGGTTCCACCCCCTTGATAACAAGAACACCTGAAAACCAGAGCTGAGCTCCATGCAGCACCTGTGATCCAACTAAATAGAGTAGGAATGGGAGAGAGTAAGGCTGGCAGTTTCTTCACTGTCACAGAAAGAAAAGGCCAGTATGGATCCTGTGGGAGACCTCTCGCAGCAGGATGGTCTGTTGTCAAGAATTTTACTGAGATGAAGAAATGTAATTAATTCCTCACAGAAGATGTAGAGTAGCCTTGTTTCCTTCCACAGCCATTAAACTTCTCTTCACGGCTCATTATGTCTCTTAAAGCACAGAACTTTTTCAGCATCATAAAGTAGCCTGACCAAATCATCTGTTACAATGGTTTCTCTGCATATCAGTTATTTCACTCTGCATTCATATCTTGGTTCTTCCTCTCAGCTGCCAGGACATCCTTATTCTCAGGTATCTTACCTTACTGTTTTTCCTTCACTGAAGTTCACTGACAAAGCTCTGTGTGTGAGTGTGCATGTTCATGTGTGCATTCATGTGTATACATCTATCCAGTTGTTTACTTGCTGTTCGGGTAGTAAAAAGTAAAATGATGAAGGCAATCTCAGTATTATCACTTTGTTGTTTTTCATACTCTGTGTAAAATTTGCTGTGACATCTGCGACCACAGTTGACCATAAATGAGTTTATTGCACAGGAAACTCCATGCTATATTTCTGAAGTGGCTCTTTTCTAGACAAGCAAACTTATTGCACCTGCTTATTATATCCTGCCTTGAAAAAACTCACCATCTGAACGAGGGAGAGATTTCTCCCCTAAGCATTAGAGGTGTTTACTGTCCATTTTACCAGGCATAATGAAGACTGGGACTCATTTATAGTTCGTAAAAAGCAAATATTATCTACTACTTTATCCCTGTTTCTGGCTGGAAACACACGCACAATTCAAATGGATTTCCTGAATAGAAAAAGTACTGTGCTTCTCTCTAGTGTGCAGAACAAAACCATTTTTATTTGGAATCCTTTTGCACCCTCGGAGTCCAAAGTTGCATTGGGTTTCACGGGTCTGATTTCCTGCCATTTTACTGCTCTTGCTGAGAATGTACTTTCAAAGAAGGTTTTGGAACACACCTTGCTGTTCTAGAGATGAAGCAATAAAATCCAGGATATAGAAGTAATTGAGAGGAGAATAGAGGAAAGCAACAGAGAATTTCTGCCTTTATCAATACAGTTTTAACCGGAGAACTTATGGTCATCAAGGCATTTTAGAGGTTGAAGGGTTTAACTGTTATATCACAAGCTGGCTGCAAGTGTTCATAGGGTTTAGAAAAAATGTGCAAAGAATGTTTCAGTGTTCTAGCTGGATATAGGGGCTACCTTTGGAGAACAAGTTTTAAAAATCCTTCTGATCTCACACCAGAGCAGAGCTACTGCTCTAATTAATTGAAATATGTTCTGCAGCACTCTTCATGAACAGTATTTTATGACTGTCTTAACCCATCTAAGGCTATACAGGAGACATAATTTGATGTTATCCACAGGAGCAGAATTCCCACACGTTCACCTCTGTGCAGTGCTTTTCAGGATCAGTATTCCTAGGAGGTATTTAAAGAGTTGTACACAGGACTAACTAAACGTTTGTACCTTTAAAATGTCTGCCTTCCTTTTGCAGAGGTTGTCACGTTATTAACTTTAGATATTCAATAAGGCTATTCTATTTTGCTTCTTTCTCACTATAGTGTGCTACATGATCACTTAGCACATGCAATACAATAGGAAGGAAATCAGGAAAACAGAAATCTCTGCTTTTATTTCTTGACCATAATGTCAGGGAAGCAGGTGTTTTTTCCTTCCTTTCCTAGTGGAGAAAGGACATATCATTTTCTTATGAGCAAGCCACAAAAGCACACAGATCTCCTCATTTCAGTGCTCAGAAACAGCTTAGCTAGGAGATCAAAGTTGATACCACATGCAGAGGCTGAGTTTGCCCTTTCAAAATAATAGCAAAGCTCCCGTTGATTTCAGTAGAAATAAGGATGATTCTTCAAACACTATTAGCCGTCCTCTACACTCCTCAGCTTTAAATTTTGCTCTATGGGTGGGTAAATTGGGGCAGGGATGTATGTGTTTCACTTCTGTACAGCACTGTGTTTGCTCACATTGTGGAAAAAAAACCTTAGATGTTGCTAACACAATTAATTTGATTGTCTCCGTATTTCTCCTTTTTCCCAAAGGTCTCAAATCCAAAAGTGTTAATGAATTAGTCAAAGACATTGTCAGAGAGCACTTCAAAGTATTTCAAAGTGAAATGCAAGAGAGCATGGCTCAAATTTTCAAGACTGTGTCTAGTTTGTCAGATGATCTTGAAAATACAAAACAATTAGTCAAGCATCTGAATGAAACCCAACAAAAATTTACTCAGGAGAAAGACAGTGGGCCAACAAAGCTTGACATTCTGGAGCTAAAGAGTCATATGGTGCAAATGAAAGAGGAAATAGCCCTCACTTGTGACAAGCCTGTGAAAGCTTTACAGGAAAAGCAGAAATCCTTGGAAGATAACTTGGAGCATCAGCAGTCAAGGAGTGTCATTTATTATGAATCTTTAAATAGGACTCTTACTGAAATGAAAGATGCTCATGAACAATTGTTATCAGCTGAACAGTCTTCAAGCCAAAACATCCCTTCAGCAGATAAAGTCACGGAGTACAATGTTACAGAGTACATGTTCACACTGCATGAGAAAGTAAAGAAACAAGGCATGATGGTGCTGCAGATCTATGATGACTTAAGAGTCCAAGATAGCAAGATTAGCAATCTCAGTGTTGCGCTGGAAATTCAGAGAGACTCTGTTCTGGGGGTCTGTGATGACATGTTGTCAGAGAACAGAAGGGAATTCCAAACACAGCTGGCAGCAACCCAAGAGAATGTGCTTGTCCTAAACAAAAGTCTCTCTGATCTGGTCCTTCCATTGGACAATAAGATGGACAAAATGAATGAGCAAATTAATGATTTGTGCTATGATATGGAGATCTTGCAACCCTTGATTGAACAAGGGGTACCTTTTAGTCTGACTTCAGAGTATGAACAACAAATCCAAGCTGAAGAAATCAATGAGAAGCTTGAAAACCTCACTACTGTCATTAACAGAATGAATTCTGCAATTAAGGAGCTTTCCAAAACTCAGGAAGGACTTAAAAATGAATCTCAGGTTTATCAGGAACTGTTTGAGAGTCGTGTTAATGAATGCTCCATGGAAATAGAAGATGGCCTAAACAAGACCATGATGGTAATAAACAGCGCTATTGATTCTATTCAAGATAACTACGTACAGAAAGATATGCTACATGCTCTAAGAAATGAAACTGAAGACTGCTGTGGCAGAGCTGAGAAACTGGACAGCCTCCTGGCTTTCATTCCTCAGTTCCAACAGTTGAATGAATCCCTCCAGACATGGCTCATTGGCAAGAAGTATGAATTCACTTCACAAGTAGCACCATCCCTTTCTGATCTTCCATATGAGGAGTCTGACAAAAGTATCCTCCACAATTTCAGAAGACTTTTCTATCTTTTAAATGATACATCGTCGAAATTGGACAATCAACAACAAGATATCAGCCACCTAGAAGAAAAACTAATTGACTCCCTGTCAGAATCAAAGGACCATGAGGTTCGCCTTCTGAATGTCGAGTCAAAAATTTCCAAGTTTTTGGCAAACAACTGTGTCTCACTGAAAAAAACCAAAGCTACATTGACAGAGAAAGAACAAGTGGTCTCACTTCAGCTCCAGACACTGAGTTCCAGGATCAAGGCCCTGGAAGCCAAGTCGATCCGCTTCTCAAACAGCATTCCACTTCTGAACAAGACTGCTCATGAGGCCTGGGGACTGTGTCAGGATACCAACAACAGCATCCAAAAAGTGAATGCGAGTATACCTGTGCTAATTAAACTTGCTCAGCTAGATATCCCCCTGCTGCAGACAGGCCTCAAAGAGCTCATGGAATCTGTGCTTGAAATAAAAGCAGGAACTATCTTGACAAATTTAACCCAGCATGTTGACATATCAGTGGCAAATGCAATGAACAACATCACCAAACTTCAGAAGCAGGTGAAACCCGTTATAAAGAAACCAACCCCAGCAAAAAAAGGAGCAGCAAACGTCACCATGAGCCTGGCAAGTCGAACTCAGCGGAACACGGATAATACCATAGATCCAGGTAATGCATTTTACTCTACTAAAAATTAGGATCTTTGTAATAAAGGCTTATGTAACCATTGTGATCCATTGAGGTGGCAGAACTTGACTGAGGGTGAGTAAAAAGTCAGAAGACTGCTATAAAGAGTATTTCAGAGGAACCTGAGGTTACTCTAGTCTCTTGCTTACAAGAGAATTTATTTTTCTTATGAGGACACTCTGCACTAAGGCATCTAGAAGCTGCATTTAATTTTCCTTAAATTCACATCTGATCAGTTTAAGATATATGTGCATGCAGACACACTCAGCTGAGAACCTGACCTTTTGACTGTAACTGACAATTTAGACAAAATCTGAACTACAAGACTTTTGTGCCTGCATCTCTATTAGCAATTTCAGTAAAAAAAACCCGTGCAAGCTGGGAGAGAAATCTGGAGTTCTATCAGTACTTTGCAGTGTCAGTGAGGATGAAAAGTATCAAAAACCTGAAGCAAGTGAATACACCAAATGACTGTAATGAGGGTTTTGCCAGCTCCTTCAGTACTTCATTGAGGTTATTAATGCAGTTACAATCACAGCCTTGTGTTGTTGCAGAATCAGGAGCCCAGCCAATAAAGTAGGTTTGACTCAAGTCCATCTGGAGAACAAATCAGCTGAGTAGGAGCTGTCGTTCTTAAAAGGGACATTTTGAGTGTGATTCGCTTCTGAACGTAAATTGAAACGTCATCATGTGACATGAATTCAAATGGTTGAATTCACAGAAATACAAACTCTGAGTTATGACTTTTGGAATCAGACTTGAGTGAAAATCAATAGCACAAGCTAACATTTTATAGAAATATAATTTCGGGGAAAATACAGAAAATAAAGAGTGGTTGGGTGACTAGAAATCCTCAAAGGACTCTAATTCACATTAAAATAAGTGGGACAGATTCCTAAATGACAAATAGATGTCCAGATACTTTTGACGACCCAGACCTCAATCTTTTCTGTAAAGCATTCTTAAACTTACAAACATTTCTGAAACGATATTTAGTTACTGTTGTAAGCAGATGTAGGGGTAGTAAAAGCTACCACTCTTGTTCTTGTATTAAGACCATAGGCAATCTCCTTTTCCCTTTCCCTCTCCATGCCTCTTCCCTCCTCCCTGCCTCCCTCCTTCATCTCCTCCTGTCCTAGGTACAGCACTTTTCAATATTCGATGGAAAGGATCCTTTTTAAAGCTGCAGTCCCATGAGTAGCTTGACCTCTGTTGAGAGCCATCCCCACTGAAGGATTTCAATCCTTAGTTATCTTTTCAGTTAGAGAGCTATTCTACAGCTGTTCCAACAGGTGGTCACGCTTAACAATGCACCAAGACTTGCCAAAGTCTTACTACAAATAATTTGAATATTTTTATATTAAAAATGGCAATTCTTTCTCAGTCATTTCTGTTTTCTACTTGTTCCTGCCACTGCATGAGAGAGAAATTCAAAACCCTTATTCACAATTAAAATTAAGGGAAAATGAGATACGATGCCTTTGATCCTTCCCGAGTCATCTACTTTGTTGGAAAATGTCACTAGCGCTACCTACCTGGAGCACAGGAAGCTGCCACCTGCTCTGTTTTTTACTCCACATTAATGAATTAATGTCTTTCCTGTTTATTATTTATCTCATGCTGAATTTTAACAAATAGCTTGCTTGAAAACATTGGATGTATGCTCACTCTTACAGAAAGTGCAGATCTTTGTGGATGTTGAATAGCTCTATTTTTAAGCAAAGTTTCTACATAGCAATGTTTATGCAGACTTTTCCATCAGTAATGAGCTTTTGCACTCAATGATATTTCATGCCTAGCAAAGTCATCCATTACATTTCTGTAAGTTAGAGAAGTAAGACCATTATCCTAATTAGCCAGTATTCATCTTCTGCCTGGGTAGATCTTGCTTCTCCAGGAAAGCTTTTTCTCTCAAGTTCCAGGAGACCACCCAGAGATATGTGCCAACTCTACTGAAGTTTCTAGACGAAACCCTAAGACATAATTGGCTAATTATAAAATTTATTACATCTTAGATTGTCTTTTTGAATTCAAAAAGATTAGAATAAAATTCTAGAAAGAGGTGAATGACAATTCACCTTGATTCCAATATGTTCACTATTTGATCCTACTCTAACGGATTGGGATTTTCATTGGCTTTAATGTGTTCAGGATTTGGCCCTGAGATAATACTTTCCTCAGTAGTTATTTGAAATCAAGGGCAAACAATGTCAGTTTGCATTGCGTACGCAGGGACATACAAGTTTGGAGACTTCCCATACCATGGAATGAACAAAAGGAAAGGTTTATGTCAGCTAGAGGCCGCAATACATGCATGAGGAGCTTTACCTGATACTACCTGTAATGGCAGCCCAGGGTGAATAAAAAAGTGATGGTCTTAAGACAGCTTCAAGTATCTAACATAAGGGAGAGGACAGCCTTTAAAGACAAAAATATATAATAAACTCTTCATTAGTCTTGGTTATGGATTATGTCTGGTCCTACCTTCTAATGTACTCTTCTGCTGCAGAAACGCATGATGCAGTGTAAGGGCAGCTTAGCTCAGTTCCAGTTTTCCTGTTGCCATTGAGTGCATTTAGAGAATCTAGAGGCTGCCGTGCTTTCCAAAGGTGAATGCACTCTCTCGTAGTATCTCTTGTATTAGTTGGGGGTTTGCTTTATTCAGATTATGCCACCCTCCCATCAAGGAATATCTGAGAGTGCGGCTGTGCTATATTTATGTATTTAAAACAGTGCATATATGTGAGAGAGAGGTAATTTCTTTTTATTTTCATTTTCTCTCTCTTATTTCTGATTTTGTTTTCACGTGATTTCAGACTCCTAATAGAAATGCAAGCTTCCATTGTCGCTTTTTCATTCAAGCCTGCAGTGAAATTAACCTATTTAAATATTTTCCATCTTGTGTTTTAATTGCACAAGGTTGATGGTTATTCTATTTCAGTTTTATGACCTACACTTCAATTTTGCATACTTACTCTTTAGACTAATGGGTAGATGAAGCTGCCTTGTTTTTAATTTAGAGATCCTGAAATGACCACACTGGAAGTATTAGATACCTCTACTTAACAGAGTCCAAGTCGCTCGGACCAGGTCAGTCTTGACCCCAAACAGGCGAGCACAGCTGCGGCACCTCTCCTCCTTACTTTCTGCCCAAGAGCGCTGCGGGTGAATCTTTGTGCTTTTCTGTACCACAGACACTCTACACAGCGCTTACACCTGAATCCCTGTCCGGGCCCCGGGTGCACCGACAGCCTGCATTGCCCCGGGGATCCCAACCTAGCCCCCAGACTGCACACCCTGCCCCTGGGCCTGGCATCTCTGATTCAGCTCAAACCAAAATCCCAGACCTTTTCAGTCATGCTGGGCTGTGACTAACTCTGGTTACCATGGCCAACCTGCCATGCTCTGCTTGTCACCTCTCCAGGTGAGGCACCAGTCCTGCTGTCACCCTCAGTCCCTGGGTGCCAGCCCTGGTGGGGCTGCCTCTTTCCCCCTGCTCCCTGGCATTCCTCACATTTAGGCTACTGGGGATGCCCATGGCTTTTATTGCTGTCAGAGTGAGACTGTTAAGCCAGAGGTGATTAATAATTGTAGACTGACAATCAGTCTGACCCCGTGCGAGCAGGGTGGCTGAGCAGATTCCCAGGCTCTTCCAGTCTCCCAGGGCTTCCTGAGAGACAGTTACTGATAGCTAAATATTGAGAAAATGTTGGTAAGTTACTTCCTGCTCAGACGTTTCCAAATTGAACCACTGGAGTCACTTCTTTCCATAAGGAGACCCTTAAATTGCTAAATATTTGATTTGCTTCTAAACAACACCCCAGCAGATACTGACAGAGCTTCATTATTTGTCTGAAGGTTTGTTTGTACAGCATTGGCAGTCTATTTCCCAAAAGAGCTGCTGGCGGCTTGCCCTTCCAAAGAGTAGCAAAACTCAGCGTTAACTGGCTCTCCTCACTCCTACTGTACTGAGGGTAAATGGCAACTGCATTCAGTTTATTCCCTGCCATTGGTAGCTGCAATTTAAGGCTTTAGCTTATTTTATTCATTCACACTACTAAGTTGAGGAAAATTAATTAAAAATAGGATATGTACTATAGCACGAAATGCTTTTCTAATCTGAACCTCTTGGCACCTTTACCCCAAGCAGAGAATATGGACATAGTGTCTCAGGACACCTTTCTGCAAGGAAAATGAAAAAGAAAATACTGGGCAGAGGGGCAGCTGCAGCCAGGAACGACAGCAAAAACATGTTATTGGTTATTGTAAGATCCTATGGAAATTACGTAGAGATTACCTGCTCAGCGGAGATCTAAGGCATTTGCCTCTTGCTCTGAAAATCCTAACTTGACTCAGACCTTTTCACAGCTTCTCCTAGTTTTAGCAAATGGAGCAGGCTCCCCAGCTGCTGTTAAACAATGCTGCACCTGGAGGGTTAATTTATTGTAGGTAAAGCTATGTCTGAATTTGATTCAACTTGAAGGTTAAGTTCAGGCAAAATCATCCCTCAGCAGACTGTGAAAACATTAGTCTCAATCTCACTATCATTTCCTTTTTGTGATCTTTTTCCTGTTTCTTGGATTTACTTCTTGTTCATGATAAGCAGAGGCTAATTAATGGAGAGGCTGCTGTGTTCTTACGCAAAGCTTTTGTATTTTGGGAATATGATACAGTCAGCACAATCAGCTGTTTTCCTTCCTTTTCTGCTTTCCTTTCACACTTGGTAAGTATGTGGATGCTTGGTAAATATGAGTGAAAAATAACTTCAGTTAAGTGTGCAGCAAAACTATTATCTGAGAAGAAAAACATTATTTCCTCCTGTCCTGTTGCCTGTGCTGTGACCCCAGTCATGACAGTCCTAAATGGCTTTATCTCAGGCGTTACGGGGTGGTCGTTATTTTCTGTGAAAACAATTACTGTTGTGTTTTTAAGTCCATATGCTCCATCCTTGCAAATTCAAGTGGCACTGTACGATGTGCCTTAGCATTCCACGCACTGAACTAAAATTTCTCATGGAAATAGTTTGCCTTAATGCAGCAGTCTGTGAAATGGCTGGATGGGAACCTGAAGGTAACTATGGGCATTACTTGAAACATCTATGTGAAGATCCAGTTCAACATTTCCCTGGCCATAAGCAGACCCTTTTATGAAAGCGCTTTTTCAGTTCCCACCTACCAATCTAGATTTACCATCACGGGGCTGTGTGGAGTTCTCTTTCCAGAACTCTGCTGGTAGTTCCTGGCAAAGAAAAGATTCATTTTCTCAAACATCTGACTTTTATTTGACCAAAGCAAGAGAAAGGAAAAATGTATGGCTTGGGAATGCTCTGTGTTCAGAATTTTTCATAGCAATATTTAATTTTTAATGTGACCTGAATGTTCTTCCCCCCAAACTGCTGTGACAACACATCATACGCTTAGAGTCAGCAGTTCAGAGCTCCGACAGATTTCTCCGTATCAGCTGGGCATGATCTGGCCGGCTCATACCTAGTCAGGAAGAGAGGAAGGACATCCTCAGTGAGCGTGCTCTGCAAACCCACCTGTTTGGTATCATTTGCGTCGCTTGCAATACAAAACTTTTACAACAATCTTGGCAGATAACTAGGAATTGAGTTATTTATGGGTAATGACAAGTACTGGAAGTGGTTTGGATAGCATTTAAGATCTTTCATCACCAGTAGCCAGGCTCTCCTGCAGTGGTTGTGACGTATCCGGGTGAGTAGCATCCTAGGCAGGACAGTCCAACCGGCACACCAGCAGTGTAAAATCTGTATTTTGGTACACCCAAGGATAAGCTGGCTCTGTCTGAAAAGAGCAGCCTTCTGTGCCTGCATTAGTAAAACCAAACCAAAGCACAGATTTGCCTGAACCAGCAGGAAAATAGCTATTTCTTTTGTCTCACCAAAAGAAGGAAATAAAATTGGGTATGTCAGTATTGTCTCTTCCAAGTTTTGCTGTTTGTTTCTGAAGGGGTCCTGCAGTATGCTCAGCCCCAAGCCTCTCAGCACATTCCCATTCTTAGTAAAGATTAATTAGCTGTTCCAAAGTATTTCTTTAATCACATGATTGCAGACCACCTGGTTTTCACTTCTGTCTTGGTTTGCTCTAATGTCTGAGGGCTGCCATACAAGAAGGGAAGAAGGAGGCTGAGCCAGCTGTGAGGGGCTCAGCACCAAAAGTTCACTGCCACTGTGACCAGCTGGAAGTGGGCAGAGAGCAGCTGGTGCTGGGTGGACTGCAGGGCTCTGGGTCAGGCTGTGGCAAGGAGGGGTGGATTCTCAGCCTTGCCCCCTCCCCCTTCTCCCTATGGGAATGAGCATCCTTCAGACTGAATCTGGCCCGAGAACTGCCTGTGAGGCCACCCTGCCTTAGATTATTATGGAACGACTTGTGTAGGTAACAGCAGAAGGAAAATTTCCTAATGCTTGACTGTAGCCAGGCTTTGCTGGCTTTAAACTTACATTGCAGGAAGGGAAGTCATTAAATTAAGGAGGACAGGAGGGAAGAAGTGAGCAAGGGAAGGCTGGTTTTTGTTGACTGGAGTGTCTTGGACTGTACAATCACAGCTGTTCAGATATCCCAATCTTTTGTTGTTTCTCATAATGTTTGAGTGAGATGCTCTGAAGAAGTTAGATTTGTAATATATTTCATCTTACTACATGTACTTGACCCTCTGAGACGAGCAGAACTCCTCATTTACAGATAATTCTGACCATCTTGGAGGCTAGCCGAGGGCATGCTGTGTTCAGGCAAAGAGGGAGGCTGGACTAGCAAGTGATCTGAACAGCCCGGACAGGGTCTGAGGTTGGCCTTCACACAGAACCTCAGCAGAAATTCCACCAGCTTTATGAAGGCTTTCCAAAATACTGAAAACTTGGGAAGTGTCACTGTAATGACATTGCAACTGAGGTTGTTGGTTTTCCTCCCTCTCTATCACAGGGCAGTATTCAGCTTGTGTCAGTTCCCCGTGCCAGAATGGAGGAACCTGTATCAACGACAGACAGAGTTTTGTTTGTGCTTGTCGCCACCCCTTTGGAGGAGTCAACTGCAGCACGAAGCTGGTGAACGACAATTCTCTGAGTGTCGGCAAGTAAAGAATTTAGTAGTGCAATATGCTAGCAGTACGGGCCTCTGCCCCAGGGCCTAATTAGAAAGCATTTGCTGGTCAAAGGTCTCACATTTCACTTTAACGAGTGCCAACTCAAGTAGTAGTGTCCTGTGTTTTGGTGCTGAAGACATCAATCCCTGTGGGTGACTCATGATCTCTTTCTTTAGTATGACCAGATGATGGGATTAAATTGGGCTGGGATCAGCCATAAAAGCTGGAAAGGTCCCTGCTGAATTGTGCAGAACGGGAGGGTGAGCAATGGATGTATTTGAACATGATAACATGGAATTTGAAGAGGGAGGTAAAAATCACATCGCTGGGGAATACTAGCTTCATCATGGCCATAAATGCTCTATAAATACCAGTAGCTACCATGATGTGTGGAACTATGGCCTCAGGGAGTCATTTTAGGCATGCCTCTGATTTTCATCGGCAAAGGATGCAGCCCTTGAAAGATATTTCAAAAAGAAAAGTGGAAACTGTGCTTATTCAGTCCAGAAAACAAATAAATAATTTACACCTAGGCAACATCGAACATGAATTTTATGCAGCTTTCAGCAGCCATTTGGCTGACTGTTACTCATGACAGCATATGAATAGTGAATAAAATATTTGTACAGTGGCAGGGAATCACAGTGTGCAGGCTCAGCTTGAAGAGAAAAACATATACTTTTATTCCCTCATTTAACATCAGGAGTGCTAAACCTCTTTGGTCTTTGTCTAAGATTTGTGGAGAAAATTCTTGGCTTCAGCACACACAGATGAACAATGAAAGAGATCCTGAGGTGGGAAGAACTTGGGAGGGGTGGGTGGGGGGAAGAAAGAAAAGAAAAATAGCAGCTCCCTTAATGATAACATAGTAGAGACAAACCTAAAGTTCCCTTGCTGTTTCTAAAATTATTCTTTTGTGGATACACCTAGCGCTAATTGTGAAGAAAATTACTTTTTGTACAATACAGAAAACCTCTGTGTTTGTGCAGAAATACCATGTTTGAGTAGCCCAGGCTACTGGATGATGTGACTTCAGAAAAGCTGCTTTTGATCTTCTGTCTGGTCTGAGTTGCCTTTCCACAATGTAACATTACTTGAAATTGTTCTTTATTCCTTTCTAGATTTTTCGAAAGGATCATACAGATATGCACCTATGGTGGCTTTTTTTGCCTCTCATACATATGGAATGACGACTCCAGGACCCATCAGATTTAACAATCTGGATGTCAACTACGGAGCTTCATTTGCCCCAGCAACTGGGAAGTTCCATGTTCCGTATCTGGGGGTCTATGTTTTTGAATATACCATTGAATCGTTCAGTCCACGTGCCTCTGGCTATCTGGTCATTGATGGAATAGACAAACTCACTTTTCAGGCTGAAAATATTAATAGTAACAAGTACACTGACAGAGTCATTACTGGAAATGCTTTATTAGAGTTAAATTATGGTCAAGAAGTCTGGCTCAGGCTGGCAACAGGTTCTATACCAGCCAAGTATCCACCAGTAACTACGTTTAGTGGTTACTTGCTGTATCGTACCTAAGTCAGTTATAAATGTAAACAGTTATCATCAAATGAAGCAACCTGCATGTCAATTTATCTTTACCTTTAAATGCTTTCTTTCTTTAACAGCAGTAAGTTTCTCAAAGTAACCAATGTGATGGTGTTTGAAGTGCTGATTCTCCAAGAAGTTGCTTGGTTGTAGCCATGTGCACACCTACAAAGAGAGTCCGCAGGTTGGAGGTGGGGGAAGAATAAGCATCTTCCTTATATAAGCATGAGTGGGAAGTGCAAATCTAATTATGTTCTACATTTACCTTGCATAAACATACTTACGCAAGGCTAGTGAGAATCACTTCTCAAGGCAAATCAAGGCTGGTTTTGATTATTCGTTTACAACCTGAGTGCATACCAAAGGTGATGGATAGATTTTGATGGCTCAGATACTGGGTTATTACTTAGCTCATTGTATCAAGTGATAATCGTGTATATAATCTGTTTGGGAAAAATACATTTATTTTTCATTTTGCCTGACACTATTCAACACATACCTTGATAGGTCAGCATTTAATTGATTCATGATTTTTTATGTAACCAGTATGATGACAAACCAGTTTTTTATCTAGTAGAAAAAAACAAGAGGGAATACTTAAAAGCTGCATGTTGATACATTCAGATTAGAAATAAGGTGCTCATTTATAGCAGCGAATAGAATTAGTCATGGGGAAAACATTATAATAGATTTGGTGGAGTCTCTCTGTTACTTGAAGCATTTAAACCACAGCTGGATTTTCCTTAGGTGATATGTTTTTGAGCAAACATGGTTCCATTGAATTCACACAGATTTTAGCATGTAAACTTTAGCCTATAAAGTACAGGAGGTTAAATGAGATAATCATAGTACTTTCTAGTTTGAGCTCTATAAATCTATGATTTTGTTTGTTTCTGCATTATATTCGCTAACTACTGCGGCAAGATGAAACGAACTTCAGTCTGTATAAACCAGAAAGTGATTTCAAAACACCAATCCAATAAAAAAAATATTTTTAGTTGATGCTATGACTGCCTGAAAAAATAAACCCTGAGATTCACATCCTTATCAGTTGCAAACTCCTGGGTTGCTGCAGTTTCTTGACATTCCATCAACTGGTGTGACTGACCAGGTTTGTTTCTGGTTATTGCCTTTGTTAATGCTAATTGATCAGGTTTTAGGTCTCCATGTGTTTGTCTCCCTCCCTTTCCTTATCCTCCCAGCTGAGAAAATAAACTTTCTCACACTACACATGTCCTTACCAATTAGTGCCGCCGACCAGGACCAGGTTTGTTCTCCCCACCACCTCCCTTACCACATGTCAGGCAGGTTTGTCTGCATCTTCTTGTTTGCGGCTCCTTCGACCAGCTACCCTTAAGGGAGCAGATGCTCTCCTTCCATGGCCCTTACATTCGGTCATTGTTAATCGGCGTGCTCCAATGATCTATGCCAATTTATTGAAGCCCAGGATGTTTTGAAGCTCCCTGAATTATTTTGTTTTCCACTGTCAGGAACTTTTCTTGAAAACACATGAGAATCTTCAGCTCTCTTAGTATTACTTAGTTAATGTACCTTACCTGGTCTTAAGATGAATGTCCATGACAGCTGACTTCTCCCGTGCTGTCTATGCCAGAAAAGATAATCCACGAAATCTTTCCTCAGGTGTATAAAATTACATTTTGTTTAAAATTGAAATGTGCATTCTCCACCAGGAGCATTGGTGTGGGCGCGTGCCTGTGTGCACTGGCTACTTGAACCACCGCGGCGGGCAGCACTGGACGGCATTCTGCCAGCTTTAGGGGGACATCCTTCCATGGCTTGTGGTTAAGGACAGCAACTGAGAATTGGTGAAGACTTTCAATCCAACCCCATTTTTTGAGGCCCTAAATCCACTAATCAATTGTTAAGGGATCTTGCAGCACATAAACAGTTGTTAAAACACCCTATGTTTCCTTGAAGGATCTGAAAAAAACCAGAACCACTACTCTAAGAGGCAACTGCAAATCTTGTTAACAGGTTGCGATGTTTTGCTGTTGTTTGTATTTTTGTTTTGGTTTTTTTTGAGGCTAGAAATCTTTTATTCTTTGTACCTGATGGATTCTTAATGTACCATGAACCCTGAATGAGTGTGCTACAGACCTTTCTCCTGTTGCATACCATATTTTTCTGTAAACACTCAAAGACTTTGATACGACACTCAGCCTACCGTATCGTTGAATTTTATCAAATATAATGACCACAGGCCCCAATCCCCCCTTGTACAATTTTGTTATTTTAATGTGTTTAGTCCTCTTTATTACTGCTGTGGCTATGGCTAAATGGCATGAAAATTACTCTGCAGATGAAATTCAAATGACTCACCAGAGACCGCATCTCTGTTTTAATGTGACTTTCTTCGCCCTTGCTGCCCTTGCCACTAAACATTTCAAGCCGGGTCCTCATCTTCACAGATGCTATTTTCCCCTGGCAGCCAGATACTTTTTGTGTCATTGTACAGGTTTTCTTTCCTCTTCTCCTTTTTTCTCACAAAACTCCAAATTCGTTGGGGTAGAGTAAGAATTCTGATTAAAACTGCATCTGTAGGAGTAACACATAGAAAAATAATTTCCCTAATACAAAATAGTACTGAAGCTAATTCTCATTGTACTATTTAAAATATGGAAGAAGTAATATTTTAAAAATATAACAAATGTACACTCACCACTTTATACTGTGCAATAATCCATTCAAATCTTTTCTCGGATGTATTAAAACTAAGTATATGTGGCTTTATCTATTGTTAAAAACTAAGATGCAGATTCTTCACCATGAAGATAGGCTTGCATTGGCCACTGAGGCTTATTTATGGGCCTGTGACTATGTACCCGGGCTGCCTAGGCTAATGAAGCAAACAATATTGAAAAATAACTGAGGATCGATAAGATCAGTCAGCCTGCCCATTACACAGGACAGACAGCAATCAGTCCCAACTCCCAGGAGAGCTTTTTAGACATCAACCAGGAAAGGTGGTTCCCAAGGCACCTTGTCACCCCTCCGCTTTCATTTTCATGCCCCGATTTGCATTCCCTAATGACAGCAGGCAGCAAATCTGAATGTTCTTCTCTACCCACAGCCCTTGCGAGGGACCACAAAGCCGTCCTGAGCCTTTGTACTTCAGAGTGAGCGTGTTCTCTTTATTTGGGTGACTCAATAACCATGGCAACATTTTGTCTGCTTTGGCTTTGACAAGCCCATCCAATTTACTCCAGAGCTCGCATTATCATTTCCTCACCTGTACCAACCAAGCTATCGCTGAATGCATGCCCCAGCCCTCATGTACTTTAGCAATCACGCTGAGATCAGCAGTTGGGTTTCCTCGTACCTTTTGTGGACAAACAGCCAGCACAACCCTGCTTCCCTCCGGCTCCTGCCAAACTGCCCTGCTAACACGTCCCTGCCTGATGCTGACTTACGGGTATTGCCATCTGTCCATACCTTTGGGATATTTTTGTTCCATGGGTTTTTTTTTTTTTCCCTAAGATAATAACATCTACATCGGCAGCAAGCGGGAAGAAAGTAATTATTTCTGAATTCAGGCATTGACCTGAAAGCATCTATTAGAAGCAACGCTGCAGCTAAACCCCACCAAAGTCAGCGGGTATCTGGTGATTAAGTGCCTTTGACGCTGGGATAACAAATGCATCGAGACAGTTGCAAAACTGAATCTTCCTAGCAGCTGAGTGCGGGCAGGTGAGAAGAAGAGTGCAAAACAATGCAAAACAAATTTTTAAAAAAACCCACTTTTGACATTTCCAAAGAACAAAAATGTATAGCATGGCTTTACACACCTTTCACTGGTGGCTGCTACTCGGGTGCAGGAACTAGTGCCTAGCAGGTCCGTGGGTTTCATTAACCACTTCAGGCCATCAGATGTATCACAGAGTTAGCAAGGTCTATATTTTTTCATCCAGATTTTATTTGCTTAATCCATACTTCTTTCTACGCTCAGAAATGGCTAGAAAGCCTGAGCCCTGTACTCCTGTTCCCATGCTAGACTGTTATCAAAAGCAGAAGACGGGAATCTTCTTTAGTTACTACGGAGGAAGTTTTTGTACTTACTAAATCCTCCTGGTGCAATCACACTTTAAGCAGAGTTCCGTAAGAAGTACGGGTATTTATCACTATTTTGTATTTAAAGTATATAGTAGAAGTCCCACCGTAGTAATTTTCTCTTTGCAAAGCCGGCATTCTCCCTTTCTGTACGATAGCAGTGATGGCAGGAGAGATGTCAAGAGTGAGATATAATGAAACACTCCCTTTGGGTGGGACTCCAGTCGAGTGCTTGGTAAGAAAACTTTCTCAGCAAGCTGCTGCTTAGCTGAAGTTGCTATAGCTCTGTTACACCGACACACCGGCTCGTAATGAACTTCCTTGCCCTGCTTCCCCACCCTCGGAGATCTGTGGTGGCTGCTAGCTGAAAACACTCTTCTGCATTCACATATTACGTGTAAACAAACTGAAGTGTTTCTGAAAATATTTACTGCGGTGGTTGCTGTCGAAGATTCTTATTTTAGGAAATGCAAGTTGCAAACGAAACAGACCTTGGCTGTTTACAAACAGCGTGCAAGTACTTCCAGAAAGCTTGCTGTTCGGGTCTGCAGGAGTTGGGAGATGCAATACAAATGATCCAAAGCACCCAGAAGTTCTTTATAAATATGAAAAACCTTTTGAAAGCTCTTTGAACCCGTTATTGGAAACCAGTATATCTCACATCCACACAGCTTTAGCGTGAGGAAGGCTTGTACATCTCAAATGAAATCACACATTTGACACTAAACATCTGCTAGAGCATCCTTCCTTCTTATGTAATGGCAAAGTCAAGAATGGTGACAATTAAAAAAAGAATTACTAAAATGATGGACATGTTTAGCAGAGAATTATCCTCAGCTCTGTCTGACTCCTCTGACTCCTCTGCAAATTGCTTTGGAAGGGAACAAAAAAAAAGTTCAGCCATCCATTGCTAGGCCACTTAT